TCTGTCACCCTGCAGCCACCAGCTGGCAGCCCCCTGGAGCTCAGCAGGTGTCTGTTTTCTCCCGTTTTGCCTTGTGGTGATACAACCAACTGGGGCTTAAATAGGGTAAAACGTTAGAATCACTTTCATTTAAGATACAAATGATCGGTTTTCTGCAATATTTTGCTTTCGGTCAAAGATCAACCCCGCACCCGCCCAACCCGATCTTAAATCTTGTTTTTTAACCTGAGTCAGTCCGTGCCTCACTATTTGTCACGATTCAAGGTTACGCTGTTTCCGTTGTGACATGAGTGTGGTTCGGCCGTTGCACTTATTATTGTTCGTACCGTTGTGTTCTCACTTTTGAATATCTTACTTTGAGGTTGAAAGTTCGGGGTGTAATTTAAAGCAGCGGTCGAAGCAGAAGGGTCATTATGGAGCACTGGCTCAAATCTGGGACTCTGAAACGCACATATAGTGAGGATAGTGACAGCTCAAGTGAGAGTAAGATGCAGAATAGGAGTGAAAGTGCGAGTGAGGTGATTTGTGCACCATACCAGCAGTGCTGTAATTCTGATTCCAACAGCTTGATCAATGTGACGTGCCAGGAAGCAGAAGGTGTGCTTGATGTGATGTCTTCGTCCGCACATGAGACTTGTCCAGGTTGGTTCCAGATATCACTTTTCTGATTGCTCAACAAAAGCAACTCCATTCTTCACATTAACCTTTTAAGTAATAAAAACATTGGCAAAATATGCAGCTTTGTTTGTAAAAATATGAGTACTTTTTATAAGATTTAATTCAATATTATTTATTTTAAGTACATGAATAGGTGATGAGTTTTACAGGGGAAGAAGTGGACATAGGTGGTCCACCGCATCTGTGACTTGGGGTAAGTGGTCCGCGGACCATAGAACTTTGAGAACCACTGTATTAGAGGGGCCAGCAGGGGGCGCTAACCCTGCAGTTTGTGTGGTTCCTAATGCTCCATTATAGTGACGGGGACACACCTTCGGATGAGACATAAAACTCAGGTTCTGACTCTCTGTGGTCATTAAAAATCTCAGGGTGTTGCTCAAAAAGAGTAGGGGTGTTACTCTGGTGTCCTGGCCAAATTTCCCCTCTGGCCTTCACCAGTCATGTCCTCCTAATAATCCCCATCTCTGAACTGGCTTCATCACTCTGCTCTCCTCCCCACTGAGAGCTGGTGTGTGTGAGCAGACTGGTGCACTATGGCTGGCGTCGCATCATCCAGGTGGATGCTCCACAGTGTTAGTGGAGGGGAGTCCCCATCACCTGTTTAGCACTTTGAGTGGAGTGTCCAGAAAAGTGCTTGAATAAGTGTAAGAAATTATTAATTATAATCAGTATTCTGGAGCATGAGGCTGTGCTCCCATTGCCAGCAGGGGGAGGCAGAGACGGAGATGCACTTTCTGCTGTACTGTGAGAAATACTCTGGGACTAGACAAACATTCTTCCATAAAATGATAAATCGAATCTCAGAATTAATTCCTACACTTGCCATTATCAGCACAGCTTCCGATCCTACTGGGGGAGGGAATTCAATTGAGTTGCAGCACAATATGTCATCTCTGTCATATTAACAGAGATGACATATGTCTCTCAATCATAATAATAAGATAAGATCACTTTATTGGCCATATACAATTTCTTGCATTAGGAATTGTTCTTTTCGCATATCCCAGCTTGCTCTCC